AAGGTCAACCCTTTAGGCCAGGGGGTTGGTCATGCCACCCAAGGGGCTTCCCTTCGTTGCCAACGCCACCTGAAAGGGAAACTGCAGCCAAAATGCAAGTTTACTAGCTTATTTCATGCTCAAAAGTATCTCTGCACCAATATGCAATATGCTTAACCACTTTTGTGAATTAAAATCTAGAAAATTCTGTCATTCAGCAGACTCCATAAGGTATATGGACCCAAAACTTGATGTGTGTTGAGGTGATAGGAGCGATGAGTAGACGGATTGCACTGTCATCCATTAACTTCAGAAATATCTAAGTGCCACCAGCAAAGCATGGTAAACCGGAAGAAAAAACATCTATTGTATCATTCAATGAAAGCTGTCACTTATTCTTTATGGAGAGGTCCTTTTGAAGCCCCTAAACATCAAACTGCATTATTTCCTGTGACAGGAATGAGCATTTTCCTTCTGGTTTTCTATGGTGTGCTAGTGATGCTTGGATATTTCTAATTGAAAATTTCTCTCTGATCTCTATATAACTGTCTCAGATCTCTGCATAGGAAGGCAAGTCTAGAGCTCACATGTACAAAATACCTACTGCAAGTGCTATCGTAAATGAGAGACAGACTAATTTACACTAGAAATACTGGATTCTGATATAACTTGCTTGATAATTCTCCCACAGCATACCTTTAATGTCTCAGCATCTTGCCTGTAGCAAAATACATGGCAATGCATCCGGTGAGAATGAGCTTGGATGGTAGTTGATGACCCAATAGGATTGTCACATAGATACATCTGATTGATTGCTTACTTCATACATCAGTTAGACATAAACTATGATACCGTAACGGTACTGTTTTTATAATGTCTATTCGTGTATGTTTTATATACAAGTGTGTGTGTGGCTGGCAAGCAAACACAAGCATGAGGTCTATATCCAAAATTGTAATGAGACTACATATAGTATTAATTTATAGTTAGAGTCGTGACTCCAAAGAGGCCAACTGAGATGGGCGCTTTAGGTGGCACAGGGTGGGGGTGGCAGTGAGACCATAGTGGCCATAACAGAAAATAAAATATCAGACTCAGCATTACTAAGCTCCCTGCCTGGCCACTGCACACAATCTTCCTGTATATGTTGGGCCACACAGCATATTCGGTTGTATGGTGCAGGCAGCCCCCTGCTGTTTTCAATCAACTGCAGACAGGAAGCTTGTACAGATCAATAACAGGCTGACATTCTTGTCTGTAGCTGATCAAAAACACTTGACCATACCTGCCACATAAATATATTGATCTAGGCACTGTATGGCACTGGACGTGCATTTGAGTGAGGCTTTGAATGGATTTCCCCTTAGTTCGGAAATATTTCCTCTCATTCTTAGCTGAGGCAGAAAGGAAAGGGGAATCTCGCTACTGGGACAGAGTGTTGCCCTTTAAGAGGCATTATAAAGTTGATCGCTTTCAAATATTTAGGCTAAAAATATATCATCTTTTGAAGTTCCCCTAGAAGTGATAAATACAAATATACAGTTATTTTTTTATCAGTGGATCGGTAAAACAGATTCATCAAATTTTATATGAGGTGCCTATAATTATTTACTATAATACTATTGTAGGCCTAAAGAAATTACCACAGTACCAAAGTAAAGTATTTAATCTTAAAATTGCTGTCCAACATTTTAAAAATGTATTCTGTTCTAAAATGACTATTCACCTGCTCCTGTATGGCAAGGAGGTATACATTGAATTTACATTGTTTTGACCTTGGTGGAGTACACTCGACTTTGTAAGTTAGCCCTGAGTGCAAGGTTCCAAGCTGTGTACATGTATATTTTATATCTGGACATAATGAATTTAGTAAATCATGAGAAGGTATCTATGTTGCATTACACAAAATCACCAGTCTGGCAAGCAAGCTTAAAATAGTAAATCTATTTCATACATGCATTAAACCACATTTACAAACCTTAAGTACCTTATTTTTGGTCTGCTACATAGGCAGATCTTTAATGAAGCAATGTCTGCAGCAATAGAGGGGAGGCACATAAAAACACTAACAAGGAATTAACCAATGCTTTTTTTTTTTATGTGTGTGCAAGTTAGTGTATCAAGACCTATATGTACAGCAACTATTGACTAAAATTAAGCTATTTATAATTACATTTGATTGCGTAATTTGATAGTTGTAATTGATTATTGCAGGATCTCTTTAGCAAGGCAGTTCTGCATGTACTATAGATGTAAACAGTGCATGAGAACAGTCATTGTTGCTCAATTATATAAGGTTCAGTAAAAAAAAAATCTTATTTGATTGACATAAACAAAACAGGCAGTTTCCTATATTGTAGGATCTTTCAAATGGCTTTGGGGTTAATTGATAAAACTGAAAAGAAATATGTTGGAAGTATAACTGTTTGAAATAATGGGATTTTTTGTTTATATGTGCCAAGAGAAAACAAGTACAACTACTAAAATTAAAATGTGTCTAAGCTGAAGAAAAAAATGCAACATATTGTAGCTTACAAGGCTTTGGATGTGGTGGTTGTATTTGGTTTTTTTTTCAGGACTTTTTTCTTTAGTTTAACCTTGTGATCCTATCAGTAACCAGTTTTAGGGTGACAATACTTGCTCACTGTACTGTATCTATTGAAGACCAGTGTGCTGCACTGTATCTATAGAGGTGCGGCTGTAGAACAACAAGTTTATTTATTAAAGCAAGTTGGGTCATCAAACAGAACAGTATAATAAGTGAAAACCTTGGTACAAGTTTCATAAAAAGAAATAGTCACATCTGAACATCATTTCTTTTCCACAGCATGACCTTTGTAAGTAAAATACAACCAACAAAAGAACTTTGGAAGGGGGTAGAATGACAGGGTGGAGAATGTAGTGGGACTCAGGGCCCAAAAGTCAGTGTCTGCACATAAGCGGTAAGGAAAAAGGGGGGGGGGGTAGGGAGGGATGGAAAGTTTAAAACTGAACTCCAAGCTTACATTTTTTCCCACAACACCAAGTCCTCTTCTTTATTGAAACTGATTTCTCTCCATTCCCTGCAAACTTGCATCTCCACACTATTACTCTTGAAGCTGCCACAGCTATCCTTGGCGCACCATAATTTCCTGCCTGAATGACCTTGATCATTGATCAATCACTTCTCCCTCTGATCAGTACTGTTATTTACTCACCTCCTACAGCTATTAGCTTTCGTTGCCATCAATAATTTTGTTCCTGAGCTTTATGTGAAAGAACACATCCCTGACATTCCTTTAGACATGCCTGCAAACAGTAAACCAATCAGCAGACTGCACAGCTAAAGTCTGTAGCACCTAGTGGCCAGCAGGGAGAAGCAGACACATATACTGGGATCTGGGAATGTGTTGTTTCATATGATACTTTTGATAAAGATCTGAGGCATCATGCTTTGAAATATAAATGAGCCTGCCAACCCCTCCCACCAAAGAGCAGCAGACAGACCAAGTGATCACATCACTGGGTCCTAAAACAGGCATTCCTTAAGACAAAATTATCTGAATAAAAATCTTTAATTGCATGTTGTTCAGGGGATGGGAGGGGGGGGGGGGCACAAGTGAAGATATTATATTGTATGTTTACAACACACTTCAGCTTTAACAGCTAATCAAAATCAAGTATGTGTTATGGAAATTCGCTTGGTTCGACGCACAAATCCATGCCGCACTAAACTGCGCCAAAGTATGTCAAACACAAAGAATTTCCCCGTGCTTAAAAGCACAATTGTATTGCGCTCTTTTGTGCAAGGACTGGAAGTACCCCTCTGTAGAGAGATGTAGAGTTAGGACACAGGTGTTGCTTGCTTGCGAGATCCATGCTAAGTGCCCCAGCACAGGTATGTGTTTATTGTTTTATAGCTGCCCAACAGGAAGTGATGTCAGACAGGAAGTGATGTCTCACACAGCAAACCAGGAAGTGATTTCAAACAGGAAGTGATGTCAACAACCAGCAAATGGTTTCAGCAAACCAGGAAGTGATGTTAACAATCAACATCACTTCCTCAATACATAGCCAGTCAACAAAACACATTAATACAATAATCTATTACCACTGGAGTGAACTTTATCCAGCATTGCTCAGTGATCAATGCCCAATAACGTTACTATGATTCTCATGCGTGCTTATTTACAGGGACAACGTCATATTATCTCCAGCGGTTGATCAGGCGCACTAGAGACAACAAACGCACGTTCCTTTCATATACTGCGTTCAAAACAAATGCATCCACGCAAGCAAATAAATCCATGCATTGCACGGGGCCCCAGCCGGCGTCCATACATTCGCCAAGAAGACACTGCTCCGCCGCGCATAAGATATCTACTCCAATGGTTTACTCTTAGTGGGGATTTAAACCGGGTCACGCTCCAATTGGGCGTGACGCAGCAAACCCTGACACAGAGAGACATAATGATAAAATATTACAATACACTAAAAACACATCCTAGTAACATTTACACAACATATGGCATAACCATACTATCATGTTTGGGGGGGGGTTAAAGTATTGTACCATCTGCAGCTAGCATTGAATATCAGTCCTCAATTGTCCATCATTGTCCTTTTAGGTCATAGAGATTCTGGTATAAATCTCTAAACTGACCGGCAATGAGGATGGTATTGGGGCTGGAACCTCTACTAACAGTGTTCAGTTTATGTAAATGCATAGCCCCTTGCTGCTTTCGAATCACTCTAGTGAGCATTCTATAACGTATGTTGCCCTGTTCATAGAATTTTTTGGGATAAGTATCCTTACTTTTGCTGTGTATGACTATCAAAGATATAAGTCAATTTGCGATGAAGGGCATCCATTTTATGTTCATTATTCTCTGAACTTTGGCATTTGAAATTAATTTTCCAAAGTGCAAATGTCTTTAATTTTTGTGACTTTAATAATAATAAAGACTTTAATAATAAATAATAATTTTGTGACTTTTGTGTACTTTAATAATTGTATTAAAGAGAGATGTGTTTTCTTTCAGTTCTATGAAGAAGCTGGACCTTCCTCTGAGATTGACTCACAGAGACACAGATTCACCAGTAGGTAAGCATGCTGTCTGCTTCTAGTATTTATAAATATGACAAAAAATACAAGATGTAAAATCTTCAAGAGACATCTCATACAATAATATGTTTGTACCATTTAAATCCTGCCAGTGATGAATTATGAGGGGGATAATATGGGCAGTAGAGCATTGCTCCATTGTAACGGTGTCCAAATCTTTCTCAGACATAATCTATGGGACATATATGGCTTTCAGATTAGAAAAGAGGGAAAATCGTATGCTCATCTCACCATAATTCTTCTTTCCTGGTGCATCTTCGTGGCAGCATACAATTAGTTATGGTTCTCCCCTGTACTCGCATGCTCTGTAGTAGCATGTCCTTGTGGTAAAGTATGCTCTCCTGGTCATTTGCTAAAAGCAAGATGTTGTCTAGTACAGTGTTTTTCAACCTTTTTTGTGCAAAGGCACACTTTTTTCATGAAAAAAATCACGAGGCACACCACCATTAGAAAATGTTAAAATTTTTTACCTCTGTGCCTATATTGACTATATATAAAGTAATTCTCTTGAATAGGAATCAAATAAACACAAAGAAATTATTTTATAATTACTTTATAATTAAATAATAAAGTATTTTATAATTGTTCATATTTCTGTTCAATCCATGACTTAACTTCACACTTCACACAAATACGTTTTAAATT